CTTGTATACAATATATATATGCCTTGTAGTTAGGGTACTCGTATATACAATATTTGATTCTGCATTGTGTTGAGAGAGGACTTGAATATATGATATATAGGCCTTGTATTAGGGTACTCGTATAAACTATACTCAGGTTCTGCATTGGTGTTGAGAGATGACTTATATATAGTATATATAGGCCTTGTAGTTAGGGTACTCCCATATATAATACTCAGATTCTGAATTAGTGTTGAGAGGGGACTTGTATACAATATATATATGCCTTGTAGTTAGGGTACTCGTATATACACTAATCAGACTCTGCATTGGTGTTGAGAGAGGACTTGTATACAAGATATATAGGCCTTGTAGTTTAGGGTACTCGTATATACAATACTTAGACTCTGCATTGGTGTTAAGAGAGGACTTGTATATAAGATATATATGCCTTGTAGTTAGGGTACTCGTATATACAATACTCAGATTCTGCATTGGTGTTGAGAGAGGACTTGTATATAAGATATATATGCCTTGTAGTTAGGGTACTCGTATATACAATACTCAGACTCTGCATTGGTGTTGAGAGAGGACTTTTATATATCATATATAGGCCTTGTAGTTAGGGTACTCGTATATACAATACTCAGACTCTGCATTGGTGTTGAGAGAGGACTTGTATATATGATATATAGGCCTTGTAGTCAGGGTACTCGTATATACAATACTCAGACACTGCATTGGTGTTGAGAGATGACTTTTATATATGATATATAGGCATTGTAGTTAGGGTACTCGTATATACAATACTCAGACTCTGCATTGGTGTTGAGAGATGACTTGTATATATGATATATAGGCCTTGTAGTCAGGGTACTCGTATATACAATACTCAAGTTCTGCATTGGTGTTGGGAGATGACTTATATATAGTATATATAGGCCTTGTAGTTAGGGTACTCGTATATACAATACACAGATTCTGTATTGGTGTTGAGAGAGGAATTGTATATATGATATATAGGCCTTGTAGTTAGGGTACTTGTATATACAATACTCGGACTATGCATTGGTGTTGGAAGAAGACTTGTGTATAAGATATATAGGCCTTATAGTTATAGTACTCGTATATACAATACTCAGATTCTGCATTGGTGTTGAGAGAGGACTTGTATATATGATATATATGCATGGTTGTTAGAGTACTCGTAGTTATATACAATATAATATATAGGTCTGTATTGGTGTTGGGAGAGGAATGCTGTGAACGGCATACCTCACACCGATAACATCGTCGTTGCGAACAGCATCACTCACACCCATCACATAAACGCTGTGAACAGCATCACTCACACCCATAATATGAACGTTGTGAACTACATCACTCACACCTATTACATCATCGCTGTGAATGGCTTCAATTACACCCATAATATCAACCTTGTGTACGTCATCACTCAAACCCATAATATCAACGTTGTGAACGACATCACTCACACCCATAACATCAAGGCTGTGAACGGCATCACTCACACTATAACATCAAAGCTGGAGCGGCATACCTCACACCGATAACATCGTCGTTGTGAATGGCATCACTCACACCCATTACATCGACGCTGTGAACAGCATCACTCACACCCATAATATGAACGTTGTGAACGACATCACTCACACCTATTACATCAACCCTGTGAGCGGCTTCACTCACACCTATAATATCATCGCTGTGAATGCCATCACTCACACCTACTACATCAACGTTGTGAACGGCATCACTCATACCCATTTCATTAACGCTGTGAATGGCATCACTCACACCCATAATGATGTTAGCTTTACACATATACCGTCAACACGTGCTGTAATGGTTTCATTAGAATTATTGTCAGTTATGAAACAAATAATAGCCAATGTTCATGTGATTATTGAAAGTGTATTTAATGCTCAATTGTGCTACAACGTCATTATCATTACCAGGTTATTATTATTGGAATTATATTTAATTGACATGTGGTATAAGCTCGCAATTCAATAACAATACATATGTTATGTTTTTGATTTTTTTTTTAAACTTAGACTATATCTACCCTCCGAAAAATAACAAAATTGTAATAAGACTTCATGTGGGTAAATTCCCACAAGGAAAAGAGTGAAGAAAAATTATTATTATTTTCAGCACAACATTTGGTGCCATTTTCCTTATTACACGATGTAAACATCATACTCGGGGTCCATGAATTCAATAACTGAAACATACAAACAAAAATTATAGGTATATTATAGATACAGTCGTATGGCAAACATTAACATAATAAATGTTCACTTCATATCTAATTAATGGTGATTTTAGTATTAGCAGTAAAAGTCTACATCAAAAGTATAATTACAATCTTTTTTTAAATGGTCCCTACAAAATAGCATTCATTCAATTATTTTGGATACTCATAATAAAAACACTTAACAATAGAATAGAATACTTTTTGTTGAGAAAGTGAAAAAAAATACAATAAATAAAAATGCTAGTTTGATCTTTATAACATAGAAAACTAAAAATTGAAATTATAGTATATTGTCATAAATAAACATAGACGTTACACATACTTTCTTTTGGTAATGGGATTTTAGAATATATTTTAGGCTGAGGTTAATATCGGAAAGAACAAACTGTCAAAAATATATTTATTTTGGTTTTTCAAAGAATTTGAATTTAATATTACAGAGTGCAAATTCTACGGAAAGGTTAATTCCTTTCTCCTTCTCCTTCCTTGAACTGAGAGTCCAAGCCAAGGCGCACTGACAATTTAAATCTATACATGGCCAAAGTGGATGGACTTGATCAAGACATGGGAGATATATTTCATATCGACATGTAATTAGTTAAGATGATGCACGTGAGACGGATTGTTAATCTCGAATTTCTAGATCAGAACATACTTGACATTCCTATGTTGCTAACTATACTAAACATCAACACACTTTGCCCTATTGTAACATATGGCTTTATAGCAGGAACATTATACTAGAAATTTCACAGAATACGCACCTGTCACATGCCATGTTTTCAATTCCTTCATCATCAGTGACAGTCCAAGATACGTTTTCCATGCTTAAAAACAAAATAGAACTTCAATTAGACAAGGGGCATTTAATAAATGGTTTGCAACTTGTTTACGCTACTACCAAAATGCTGAAAAAATATAACACGACAATAAGTTCGTGGCAGTAAGAGATATTAGAAATAGCATCGTAGATGACTATCAACTTTATTGATCATGCTATTTAAGGTATAAACAGAAGAAAGCTAGTTAACAATTCTGTGATTCAGACATTCTCTAAACGTTATGCTATTACGACAACTTATACAACATCTGAAAGGTTAACTGTGTCTGAAAACGGCAGTGCGTATGCTTTAACAAGATTTGTTTCAGAGATTTTCCAACTGACAATTTTGTGACCATTCAAAACGTAGTTGTCAAACACGTGAAGTACCAGTAAATTGCAGAAGCTGTTCGTAACGATGTATTATAGACGATTACAAGGGACTGTTAATGATACGTATGTAGTTATCTGGTCGTACCTAGAACAGAAAACGCCATCGTCTAGTCTATAAAGTAACGAACATCCAGGACAATTCAAAGGTCAATCGCGTGAAAGTAAAAGTTAAAAATGTTTCATTGGTTAATCCCTTGAACACACATTGGCATGCTCTATGCATTACCCATTCGGTTACATCCACGATTTCGATATTTAAGTTGCCATATTAGCATGCTGAGCGCCTTCCAGAGAATATCTGAATCACAGATCGATTACACCGCGTTTTAATCCGTTGTAATCTTAATTATGTTACCCCATTCACCTGTTCCATTGCATCCAAATTCATATCGGCTGCACGTCGATGTACTAAGAAGAAATATCATTTGCCTACGATATTACTTAAGATATAATTGCTTATCCTAAAAATACTAAACAGTATATCCACATAGGTGACTAATGACTACAATGGAAATATAAGATACCTGTATTCGTCATTTGCAGACCGTCTTGCTCTTCTTTTCCATTGCAGTCGAGCAAAATATACGACGACACTGGCTGCAATAATCAGTGCAATTGTACCAAATAAAGCAACGAGGAAATACACGTGCAACCCCACTTCCCCGGCAGACACAGCAGAGTGACTAAAATTGCAGTGAACAAAATTTGTAATGTAATTCAAATTGCAAAAATTACAAATATTGCTACGATTCAAGTTCGTATTGCTTATATAAACCCACAGTTTAAGAAATATACATTAAAAAGATAACATACCTGCAACTGTAAAAACTGCAATATAAAAAGATAGAAGTAGTATAACATGCAATTACATCTATAATGTAAAACATATATATATATATATATATATATATATATATATATATATATATATATATATATATATATATATATATATATATATATATATATATATGTACCAGTGCTACAGTCCAAAGGGACATACACATATACACATATATGGTTGATATATCAACATCACTGGACGACATATTTGTTTATATTCATTTGTTGTAGTTGAACATAATGGTGCTCAAAATGTAAATGCCATTGTATAGATACAGTTACTTGTTGATTTAAAATCGACAAAAATAATCATTATCGGTAGTCTTATACCTGGGGACAAACATGCGTAGCCAGTTGTGGGACAGCCAGTAGGGCAACATTTTGCCTGATCTTCGCAATCAAAGTCATTTGAGCACAATACTTCACATATATCACTCCGTCCTTCGCCAGTTGTGGGACAATATCCCTCTTTTTCTTCAGAAACAAGTATTATCTCCATGACTTGGTGGTAAAACAAATCACGTGAAGTAAAAAAATAAATACCCAATGCACACATTCACGTTATGATTGTTATGGCCTTATCCCGTAATTTCACACATTCTTTGATTGAACGTCTAAAGGTGTTTAAAGTTATATTTAGCAAAAGAGAATAGAATTTTCACAAAAGCAATTACCGGAATTCAGTTGAATACTTCTGTCCATACTATACCTTCCCTTGCTGCGTGTTTTGGTAGTATAAACTGATGCTTACCTGGTAAAACGCATGTGTAACCACATCCATTGTAACAGCATTTCAAATCATCACCGCAATCCTCATCAGCCGTGCAATTGTGTTGACAAACTCCTACTTCCTCAGAGTTTGCAGGACAAGTCCCAGCTTTGGGAATATATACCCTAACTGCAAATAGGAAACGCGATGATGGTAACCAATCACAATATAGTAATAACCATATATAGAAATATCATTATATTAGTATGCATAAGACTAGTATATATTCAACTTATATATATTCAATATTTGTACCTTTGTTTGCAGGTACAATTGTCTAAATAGTTTACGCAAAAGAATGTCATATATGTTTTAATATGTCCCTAAACTATACAAATTATATACCATATTGCTTACGTCATATTTCAATTTCGCAAAGAAAATCTTTCGATAACCCGATAAGGATAAACCATTAAAAATAACATAAATGTTAGTAACTCTGAGCTGTGTATTGAGTCAATGACATCATATGATTGTTTTTATTATTTCTCAAACACACATAGTATAATGTGAGTATACTGTTTATGTGTACTATTTGTCGATATTTATTATGATGGTATTTAAAAACATGTATTGCATACGTGTCACCAAATACTTTAACTACTTTCCATGTTGCGATCAAACATACAGCAATAGTTTAAATAACCGATATATGCGATATGTGCAAATTGATTTAAATAATCCCAATATGCAATATCTAAAGTATGATTACTCATAATAATAATAATAATGAATTTATTGCATCCTTAGAAATAATTTCCATTGGTTGAACAGCAATAAAATGTTAGTAATAAAGTACAATACATATAATGTTAACAAGTAAATACCTCGATGTTGAAAAGTGTGTCAAGAGCTAATTAAACAACATTTGTTATCGCCCTCATATCTTCGCAGAACAACGCATGTTTATGTACACATATGTCCGTGTTTCCCTACCAAAACATTGACATTATTTAGATCCAGATACGCTATGACCAGCACCGTACACATGACCGTGCACTACGCCGTAGCGTCTGCTGCACAATGGTACCGTCTTAAATAAAAACATGATTTACTACAAATGTATCAACTCATTAAGCGCATAGTGGGCAAAACCGTACAAATTGGTCAATACATCATTAGTATACCCAACCAATACAATTGCGTACAGTTTGTTTGTATCATGAGCAATTATTTCTACCTCTACGCATGCTGGTTATCCGTGTGCTTAATAGAATATACAATTCAAAAAATGTATATTACCTGGACCCTGACAAGTATGACCACAGCCAGTTGAACAGCATTTATTCTCACCATTGCAGTCGCTGTCAGTCTGGCAGTTGTGTACACATGCACCAGATGTGCCTTCCTCTATGACTGGACATTGCCATGACGTGGATGAACCCATAGCATCACCACGGTCAGTACCTCTCTCGCCAACAACTTCACGTCCTCTCCCTGAATCTGCCTCATCTCGTCCTACACCACCGCGACCTCTGCCTAATCAAATAAATTACAATCGTTATGGAAATGGGAAATGGTGAAACAAAATAGCTTGGGAAGACTATACAAATATGTAACAGTCAATGCCACGTGCATATCGTTAACAAAAATGCAATTAATACTTGTCTGGGAACTATAATTTAAAATATATACAGATGAGCGTCGTGTGTTTGACCAAGTCGAATCTAAGAAACATTACCAAATTATTTATATTATCTTATTTTATTTATATCAATTGTTAATGTCTCCGCCTAATCAAAAACTGATGTCAGTGTGTTTAGAAAATTTAAAGTTGATGAAGAAAAAAAATAGTTCATTTCACGCGTGTTAAGATAAACTGTCAATATATTGAGTAAATACCTGGTGCTATGCAGGTTAAACCACATCCGTTAAAGCAGCATTTGTAGTTTCCTGTACAGTCATCGTCATGGTAGCACTCACTTACACAGGAACCCACTACTCCATCGTCTATGGCTGGACACCAACCAAGTTTTGTACCACGTGCTTATGCAATGAACATACAAGAGTGTTAATGATTCGAACTATAATAATACGTATAAGATATATAACGTCTGACTCAAGTTAAAGCGTCGAAACCACAGTTCGATGAACTATATTGCGGAATGGTTTTCTAGTACACATAGTGATTGTTTAATGTGGTTTCGAGTCAAAAAGATTTTATTTCAAAAAGCACTTTGTGAACAGGGTGCAATTTAGAATAACTGAGTAATATAATACCCGTTCCATCCACTGTATGCAATTATTTATTTAACAAGGATTGCCATTTGTTTCCCTTAATTACAGTACCAAGATTGTCAATGTTGTTTTGTACTTTCATGATTTCAAATGGTGCCTCGCACTTTCTGTACGTTCTAGTTCTTTTGTAATCTGCTATTTATTGCTAATATTAAATCTGAGAGCTAATGTCCACTGTCACATGTGTTTGACAGTTTAACATGCCCTCCGACTGGACGCCATATTCTCTATTCCAAATGCCACGAACCAGCCAAGTTGGCAGCATTATTAATTACAAGAAACGAGTTCGAATTCATGACCATGGCTTCGTTACGCTATATGTGTGACTGTGATGTACAAGCGCGATGTGAAAATATGACGTCACATACAACATGCAAAATACATGTTGCCCGTGTTTTTTTTCAGTACACTCAAACAATAATGACATTCTCCAATATAAATAGTTTATTTGTTGACTCGTATTTTCTTAACTAAACATTTAATTTTCAATACCTGGATTCATGCAAACATGTCCACATCCAGTTGAGCAACACTTCTGCTCATCTTGGCAATCACTGTCGATTGTACAGGTCTCTATACATTGTTCGGCATATGGATGTACTGTCGGGCAAGTCCCTGGTTTTTGTATTAAAGACTCAACTACGAGAAGTCAATGGTAATCGTAAGCAAATTAATGAATACTAAATTAACGACCACGGCGACTGTGATCATAGTACGATCAATGAAATAAACGCACCATACGTCACATATTCATCGTTTCTTATTTTCGCTGCGTAGATTTACGTTTTGCGTTCTGTATTTATGTGTGTTATGGTATGTGTGCAGCATGATACATTGAAATCCACATACAATAAAAGAAAATTGTCACATACATTATACATTTTCGTATAACGTTCTGGATATACTCTCATAAAATGTTATTTTAATCGATGATTTGTAAATTCTTTTTTTTTTCTTATGCCATTATGCTTACATGATTTGGTGATAAGTACAATTTTATTTATACAATTTTATAATTCTATCAAATCCTTTTCGTAAAAGTATGGTCTTGTATTTTGATTGAGGCCCTCTAGGTGAGATAAGTTTCTTTACTTTCCCTTCGTTTCGTGTCGACGAGGACGCTATTACAAGAGTAATGGTTACTGATTGGCCTGTTCGGTATGTATTCAAATGAGTCTATTATCAGCTGTCTGGTGTATTAGGCAGCATTAAAAATGTTGTTGAAAGATAATTACAGTGTAGCTGACATTCTTGGCTGGACAGCCACAATGTGGTTTTGGTGCTACTGATCTGTACCATTGTGTTCAAACAACTGTGGTTTTATTGTTCCTGGGTTTGAATATGAGAATTGATTTCTGATCTATGTTCGCTGTTGTATGGTCAAAATGGTTTAACGTCATGCTGGCGAGATGTATAATAATAACAGTATTTTGGCAAGTTTCGCTGTTATATATTTGACTTAAACTACCGGTTTATTGAATACTTTTGGAATTAGTTTGAGGCGTCTTTTTCTGTTTATTATGTATATGGTGCACCGAAGAGTCATTGTCATACTGACCGGGGATTAAAAACAGAACTCTGATGGCCTTTTGCAATATACTATATTGACTGCACTGAATGGCATTTATCCTGTCTACAATACTTTCACACGCAACGTAACATTACCGTAATTGGTATAGTACAGGTGTGATGGTTCAAATACCAAAATGGCAACAGTAACAGAAAGACTTCCCTGGCGGCGATGATAACATACGAACGCGGAGCCAACAGATGAGGTTTCAACTGGTACTGGTATTATTATACTCTGCAAACATCAAGTACAATAACGCAGTAAAACTCCACTACTTCAATAACTAGATACTTAAACTCCAATGCAATTCAACGAGATCTCCGACCTGAACACAGTGCTGAACAACTCCCCTATATATACTCCCACTGTCTATAAATATACCATTACATCAGCATACATAATGAGTCTGGAACTTACTACAAATTTCTAGAATGTTCCATTACCTTCTATTGCCTTCTACAGTGTTCTATTACCTATTCAACCAGTTTCTAAAATCTAGAATATTCCACCCAGATACAGTACGGTTCTAGAACATTCTCAGTGACACGGAAGTGGTAAACAAGTCGTACGCGACAAATACCTGATATATAGAAATCCAACAAAGCAAAGGAAAAAGCTGAAATTCTGAACTTATTTACACAGACCTTGAATTTGACAAACAACGTCAGTAAACGAAACATGTGGCATACATATGTATCAATCAGAAAAGACGTTAAAATACTAGCACATGTCACTGAAAATGATATCGAACATGCGCAAACTATATAAAGTAAAACTCACGGTTATTTAAGTTATGATTATGGTTTATAGGAGTTTCATTGATTATTGAGCAATGAAGATCGAGGCAGCAAAAAAATTCACGCTTGATACATCGATCATTGGCGCAAATCCGCAAAAACTTCGCTGCTCTTTTTTACAATTACGCCATACAAAACTGTCCCGATAAAATCATTACAGCAACTGTAAGATATTATAAAATTTTCAGACAACGTTTTCGGTGTCATCAAAAACTCATTATTAAAACTATGACACAAATTTCAATTGGGGTGGAATATTTCTCTGGCGCAGTACAAATATTTTCAAAATATACATTTTCTAATCAACATGAAAGATTACTCAGACCAACCATTAATTTATTTGTATTGTTATTGGTAGTATTAAAACTTACAAAATCAGAGAGAAAAGGGTGACATGATGCACAATTACAAATAATGTAGAATTATACTTTATACTTGATATCGTTTATTATTGGGTCTACCCTTACCTGGAGTCATGCATATATGCCCACAACCATTGGAGCAGCATTTAGTGTCTCCTTCACAGTCATAATCATTTCCACAACCCTCTAAGCATATTCCGGTGCCACCTTCAAGCTCAGGACAATTTCCTGGTTTAACATCAGAAACTAAAGCAAACGAAATGTACTCCTTGTTTAGACAGTCATTTGGACGGTACTTTTATACATTGCACAAAACAACTGATTTTTCATTCTGTATTCTTGTAATAACAGCTAAATTATCCACGTATGTGTCAATAAGCTATGTGTCTATACACTATTACTACTGCCTCGGCTAGCCAATTCAATAAGCTTGTCATTCGAAACTCATGGATAAGACTAGGACACGAATTTTAACTAGGGGGTAGAATATTTCTCTGGCGCAGTACAAACATTTAATGATCAAAAAAAAAACAAATGAATGCATAGAGTGATCATTAATTTATTTGTGTTGTAATTGGCAGTAATAAAACTTACATAATCATGAGAGAAAAGGGCGACACGAAGTACAATTACTGCAACATCTGTAAAATAAATGTAAAATTATACTTTAAAAATCGTTTATATTTTCATATTAATGAGTCTACACTTACCCGGAGTCATACATGTATGCCCACAACCATTGGAGCAGCATTTAGTGTTTCCTTCACAGTCATAATCATTCCCACATCCCTCTAAGCATATTCCGGTGCCACCTTCAAGTTCGGGGCAATGTCCTGGTTTAACATCAGGAACTGAAGCAAACGAAACATATTACTTGTTAGGACAGTCATTTGTACGGTACATTTAGACATGGCACTATAATAAGTGATCTTTCATCGTTTATTCTTGTTATAGAAGCCCAATATTCTACGTATGTGTCAATAAACTATTACTACTGTTTCGGCAAGCTGATATCATAAGCTGGTCATTAGAAACTCAATGATAAGACTAGATT